TTCCTTCCTTCCTTCCTTCCTTCCTTCCTTCCTTCCTTCCTTCCTTCCTTCCATCCATCCATCTATCCACCCACCCGTCCATCTATCCATTCATTCATTTTTCCATTTATCCTTTCTTCTTTCCATCCATCCTTCCATTCCATCCATCCACCCATCCATCCATCTACCTACCTGTTTATCATGAACACTGTTCTTCTGTACAATAACTGAATGAAAGGTCATACCCATTAAAAAAATTCTGAGTTATATGGGTCAAGGTGAGCACACTTACTTTGTAAAGTGCCAGGTAGTAAATATTTTCAGTTTGTGGTCCCTTTGTCTCTGTCACAACTCCTCAGTTCTGGTGCTGAGTACAAAAGCAGCCACAGACAATATATGAGTGAGTGGGCATGACTCTGTCTGATGAAACTTTACACAAAACGGATGCCAGGCGGGACTTTGCCCATGGACTGTGGCTAGCTGACTTCTGATATAAACCAGTTGTAAAGGGGTGTTTCTAGAAAGCACTGACTGAGGGGAAAGGGAAGCTAGTGAAAGAAGCTTGGCTATGGTAGGTCTACAGAAAAAGAGACAGAGGGAAGAGTACTTCATTAGGGTTCAGAGCAAGGCAGGAGTGTGAGACCATGGCAAGTGCTGTACTCAGTGCACCCTCAGTCATGCTCTCCCCAATTGTTGGGTTTTCTTCCTTCCAGGCACATGACCTTCTCTGCCCCGTTGAAGTCAGGTGTTGCCATGTGATTTGATTTGGACAGTGAAACATGAGAAGAAATATTACGGGGGAAACTTTAAGAGCAGCCCATGTTTGTCACATTTCTGTCCCTAAGGCAGCAGTTTTAGGATGAAGCTTCTACCAACCTGACTGTCTGAGTAAGAGGAGCAGAATCCCCTCACCCACCAGTGCTACGTGAGTAAAATATAAATTTTGGTTGTGTTAAGCCCCCAATATTTTGTGTTTGTTACCAAACAGAACCTGGCCTATCCTGTCTGATATACCTAACGACACCAACCATATTTAACTAAAATTGCATTCCTCGTTACCGTCTATCTTTAGTATGCTACCTTATTTGTCTTCATAACACTTTCTACCACCTTACATGTATTTCTTTGTTCATTTACTTGCCTGTTTTCTCTGCTGGAGTATAAGCTTCCCCAAAGCAGGGATTTCTGATCATTGCTTTTAAATTTTAGCATGTATTTACTATGTGACATCATCAACATCACCAAAAGCATCAACAACACAAACACGTGCTTAGTCCTTACAAAACTATGTGAGGTAGATAGTACCATTAACGTTGTTTTTCCTTATAGGTGAATTATTCTCATTTTACCTATGAAAAATGCACTAGTTGTCTATTGGTATGTAACAAATTGCCACAAAAGCAGCTTAAAACATCACACATTTATTATGTGTGAGTCAGGTGTCTGGGCACAACTTGTTGGTCCTTTGTTCAGGGTTTCTTGAGAGACTTCAATCAAGGTACTGGTGAGGGCTAAGGCCTCATCTGAAGGCTCCACTGGGGAAGGATGGACTTTGAAGCTCACATGGCTATCGGCAAGCCTTTATTTCTTGCAGGCTGTTGGACTGAGGGCTGAAGTTTCTAACTGGCTGTTCAGGAGAGTCTGCCCTCAGTCTTGATTCCTTGACATGTGGGCCTCTCCAACATGACACCCCCACCGTCCAAGTGCACCTGCTGAGAAGGGAATAGAGAGACTCTGCTAGCAAGACAGAAGCTGCAATCCCATGGAATCACAGAAGTGACTTTTGCCACAGTCCATGATTTAGAAGCAAGAGTAGCAAGTCAGAAGTCCCAGCCCCACTCAAAGGGAGGAAATTACAGAGTATGATTACTGGAGGCAGGGATTACTGAAGCCATCTGAGAGTTTGCCTTCAATAAGGTACTTGGAATTCAGAGAGGTCACATAGTGGGTCAGTGGTAAAGATCGTGTCACCCTGACCTCACTGAGACCCGATAGGACTATAAAGGTTATGGGTCAAAAGGTAGAATGTATTCCCTAAAGCAAGGCACAAGTATTAATTTTGTTTCAATTAGGGCCAGAATCAGGATCTTGAGTGACACACATCTTCTTTGTAAAAAAATATGAAATCAGAAATGAATCTTTAAGAAATTAGCTGTTGATTGCATGAAATTATTAAACAAATTACTTGGATCTAAAAAATCTTTGGGCCTGGCATGTACGGGCTCAAGCCTGTAATCCCAGCACTTTGGGAGGCCAAGGCAGGTGGATCATTTGAGGTCAGGAGTTCAAGACAAGCCTGGCTAACATGGTGAAACCACGTCTCGCTTGAGCCTGGGAGGCAAAGGTTGAGGTGGGCTGAGATTGCACCACTGCACTCCAGTGTGGGCAACAGAGTGAGACCCTGTCTCAAAAAATAAAATAAAATGAAATGAAATGAAATAAAATAAAATAAAATAAAATAAAGTCTTGTATCTTCAGGTAATACAATAAATTCTTATCTCTGTATTAATAATAGAATTAAGTAGAAATATTTTCATTTATTCCTCTTTATATGAGTACTTTTATTTGGGGCAGCAATGTATCCAGCTAAAAGAATATATTTCTTATCTTTCTTTGCAGGAGGTGTAGACATTTGACTAAATTCTAGCTATTGTGTTATGTGGGCTTCTTGGAAGATTCCTTATAGCTGGGTGATATGGTTTGGCTGTGTCCCCACCCACATCTCATCTTGAATTCCCATGTGTTGTGGAAGGCACCCTTTGAGAGGTAATTGAATCATGGGGGTGAATCTTTCCCGTGCTGTTCTTGCGACAGTGAATAAGTCTCATGAGATCTGATGGTTTTTAAATGAGGAGCTCCCCTGCACAAGCTCGCTGTCTTTGCCGGCTGCCATCCATGTAAGATGTGACTTGCTCCTCCTTACCTTCCGCCATGATTGTGAGGCTTCCCCAGCCACGTGGAACTGTAAGTCCAACAAACCTCTTTCTTTTGTAAATTGCCAGTCTCGGATATGTCTTTTATCAGCAGCGTGAACATGGAGTAATACACTGGGTGATCAGCTGGTCATCACATTCTTTGTAGATTCCCTTCTTCTTGCTGCAGCCACCAGCTAGGCAGGGAGAGGATATTGAGAACAAATTTTCATGCTGAGGATGGCAGAGGAGAAAGATGAAAGGAGTCTAGGCCTGAAGACATTGTGAAGTGGTCTGGGACTGTACCTCCCAACTTCTTTGTGCAAGAGAGTAACGCCTTACATGCATGAATCTGTTATTTCAGGTTTCTTTTATATGCATTTGGATTGCCTGTGGCTGAAACGAATCCTGACACAATAGAAAGTATTTACACCCTAGAGAGCTGTGCTAAAGAACCTATTTGCCATCTCATCAGGCTGGCAAGTGACACACAGTGTTCAGTAAAACTCAAGCAGATGCTATTCTGTTCTCTGCTAAATGAGCCTGATTTATCCATTGTTATGTCCCGCCATTCCAAATAAAGAGATCAGGATTCCCTTGCTCTATAGCTCTACTACAGAGTCTGCCTTGCCCATCTGACATGTAAAACCCTGAAATGTAAAACTCTGCTGTTTGTAGGAGTGCCAAGATGTTTAAACGTATTTTAGATATTTTTTGGAAAGTTGTAAAACGTGGCTAATGTAGGAAATGGTAGCAGTTCATAAACTCTACTTGTTGTTCATCACTTCAGATGTCACTAGACTTACGTAAATGGAACAGAGATAGTTTTCTTTTTTCTGTGTGAAGTCAAGCCCATTTTTTTCCTCTAACATTGCAGATACCCCAGAGTGGTTATCAGCATTTGAAAGCAGCAGGGCCTCTTTCTTCTTGGATTTGGTTAAAACAAAAGGGCTACAGACAGTCTCGAAATGTGAACCAAAACCCCGGGTTTTTAAACACCTCAGCAAATCCGAATGAAGACAAGTTTCCTCCTTCAGAGAAAAAACAGGGCTCAGTCTATAAAACCTGCCTTTGAGGCAGATGACAACTTTTCCCACAGGTGGTGCACAAGTACTTCTAGGAAACACAAACACCTAATTTTGATCTTATTTATTAGGATTTGACTTTAATGTGGATCTGGAAAAACATAACTAGCACATCATGCTCATAATTATACAGATCTTACTGTTTAGGAGGAGATCGAATTAATTGCGTACAATTAACAACCATTAATTATGTTTTAAGCAGGAGATCAAGTTAAAGAGTAATCCTCAGTAAATCTTGGCTGCAGGTGACTGATGGAAGTTTCAGAGGCTGGACTGGAAGATGAAATTGGGGCGAGATGGCACACAGCATGGCCTCAGGAACCTGGGCTCCAGCAACCTGCAGGTCCCAATGGAGGCAAAGTCAAGGAGGGTCTCAGGGAGTGGTTGATGTGTGAAGTCTCTGTCTGCCCATTTGAATAACAAGAGGTGGGGCTTGTGATTTTCCTCCACTGTATGTTGTCTGGTTCCTAACCCCCTCTCGTTACTGTCAGTTTTAACCGTGTGTGTATCTATGTGTGTTCAACTCTCATGGGCAGGGTGGCAGAACTCGCTAGGGTAGGAGGAGAGACCACGAAGACAGACCTTGATTCCTAAGTGTGCACTTTGAGAGAGTTTTCTCCATCATTTAGCCTGTGGATTGCAGCATTTTGAAAAATTAACTAGAAGTTCAGAAATTAGATGGAGACCCCTAGTGGAGGCCTAGGAGAAGAAGGATCGGAAGTTCAGAGTCTGCAAAGGCTGGGATAGTGGCGTGTGAATGGGCTGCCTGGAGTGCGCAGAAGGCACACAGGCCTCTGTCTCATGCTGGGGTCCACCAGGGCCTCCAGGTGCCGCATCCGGTGGTGTTAGCTGGCCTCTCTCCTCAATCACCAGTGCTCAGGCCGTGGCTGTGGATGGAGGAGCCAAGATGGCAGGACAGGGTGGAGGGGGTGCATGCCCCTCGCCAAGGCTGATGTAGCTGCTGCCTCCACTGAATGCCGTGTCCGTCCTGTGCTGCCAGCCCTGGGGGACCAGCAGACACTTGATAGCAAGTTGATTACATCTGTCCCCCTCAATTGCAGCTGGAGGTAATTTTCCCTTACTGGAATTGATACCTGCTCCTAATACAGATTTGCCTTTTCTGCCTGTTCTCCTGCCAGCACCCCTACCTAAGGGCCTCCAGGAGGAATGACGTCTCAAATAGAAACCTGCATAACATCAGCCAAAACCAAGGACCCATTTTATCGTCAAAGAGGTGTGCCATGAATGCATGACTGTGGGATCCACTACTTTGACCACACATATGGATGACTTGAAAGCTGCCAGCCTTCATGAACAATGAAAAGGCCATTGATGGCTCAGCAAAGGTGCCAGCTCAGGGCCAATGCTCCCCGGGGTTGGCCTCGAGGGTGGCTACAGTGCTGTAACAATAGCCAATAGGGTGCTGAACCTACAGCCTACCTAAGGTGCTTTGACACCAATTGTCAGAACACACGGGTCTGGAAGCCAAAGCTTGGAAGTAGGATTGGTTGCTTTCGTTGTAACTCCTAGTGACCCACTAGTTGAATTTTGGTTCCTATCCCTGAGAACTTATGTTCCAAAGGACTAGAGATCCTGGTTCCTGGGGTGAAGCAGGGCAGCTTCCCCTGAGGTTCACAGTAAAGGTTCTGTTGAACCCGTATGTGACTGTCACTGGGACCCTTTGGGCCTGCTAGTGGATGAGCAGGCAAAGAAAGAAGTTACTCCACTATCAGGGGACAGATAATTCCAGTTCTCAATGGGGCTGTGGTTGCTTCCAGGGGACTGAAACATGGCTGAGACCGAGGAGATTGTTGGTGGCTTCCTCTGGTGCTTCCAAGTCTGGGGTTAATGATGACTGGGCATTTGCAGCCATCAGGGCCTGATAAACACAAGGCAGCCAAGAGCTCAGACCCTGAGCGGTGAAAGGCCAGCCAGTGATCAGGCAGGTGGCCCGGACCATCATAAGTGCTGATAGAAATCTAGGACGTGCGGTGGAGGAGGGAGATGACACGTCCCAACCACTGTCCCTCGTTAGCTGCAGGCGGCGTGTCCACCACGCCTTCTCTGTGGAGTCGTTTGGAGATGGTGGCTGGCCACGACCGCGCAGGCTTAGTGACAGAACAATCTGAGAACGAGGGGTGGGCTCCTGCAGACCCGTGTGGTGCTCTGACTCATGCCCTCTCAGCCTAACTTCTCATTTCAGCAGGGATTGGGGTGTGTTTCTGTTCCGTGGTTAAGTCGCTGCGTGCTCACAGCAGCTTACTTCGAGCACGGGCTGCAGGTTTTACTTTCTTCATCAGGATTCCTCTCATGCCATGAATGGGGAAGGTTTACAGTTGTAGGAGTTGATATACCTAGAGAAAAATGCTGGTGAGTAAAGGCTCATACCTCCTGTTTTCTTTGGGGGCTGTTCTAGAGCCTTCTGTGCCCTTCTCATGATGTCTAAGCAGAATGGAGCGCCCATTGTTTACAGCAGTTTCCATGGCAATACTGTTGCTTTTCCCTCCCCAGTCTCACTGTTACAGGTTGAATTGTGTCCCCGAAAAGATATGTTCAAGTCCTAACCCTTGGCATCTGGGAATATGACCTTACTTGCAAATAGGGTCTCTGCAGATGTCATCAACTTAAGACGAGGTTAGGCTGGATTAGGGTGGGCCATTAATCCAGTATGACTGGTGTCCTTATAAAAAGACAATGTGAAGACGTGTGGGGAGAAGACCGTGTGATGGTGAGACAGAGACAGGGATCAGAGCAATGCAGCTTCAAGCCAAGAAGCGCCAAGTTTGACAAGAAATACCTGAGCCGGGAAGAGGCCAGGAAGGATTCCGTCCTATGGTTTTCAGAGGGAGCCTGGCCTTCCCACATCTTGATCTTGGACTCACAGCCTCCAGAAATGTGAGAGAACAAGTTTCTGTTGTTTGAAGGATGGTCATGGCAGCCTCAGGAGATGACGCACTCACTCTTTCTGCTTCCTCTCTCATGCTCCCTGGGGTCGCCTCTCCAGTAACCTGCCTGATCACCATCCATTGGTCCAGAGTTTTCTTTATTAGAAACCCAAGCTAGGATAACCTCCACGCCGTGCAAAGAGGGAGACACTGTTGCCTAAAGGAGACTTTAGTTTTTGAATGAACTCTTTTTTTGGTGATACAGTTAATCATAATTCAATTTACCATTTTCTGACTGCCTATTATGTGCCTGGCACTTCACAAACATATCGAGTCTAATCCAGTATCATTCCATGCGGTAGCTGCTATGATCACCATTTTGTAGATGGGAAACTGAGTCTGATGGAGGTTGGGAGACTTGCACTATTTGTGACCCCAAATCTACATTCTTTCTAAATATGTAGGACCTAATCTTTGCCCAATAATTTACTTTCTCTGTAGGTTCCAACTTTTCTCTATGTATCCACCTGGATTAGTTGATATCTAGGTTTGGCTGCTGAGACAAAGACCAACATATGAGTGACTTAAACAAGATGGACATTTATCTCTCTTTACAGAAGGCTACATATGGGGCAGTCCTGCTCCTCAGGGCCCACGGAAGCTCAGATTCCTCCTGTCTACTTGCTCTGCCAGATGTTGTTTTTGGTGGCTTAATGCCACTTCCACTCTCCAGCCAGTAGAAAGGTGAGAAAAGCGAAAGAGGAGAACAGAGTTCTCTTCACTGCAGGATCTCCTTACATCCCACTGATCAGAATTTCCACCATGACTATGCCTAGATTCAAGGGGTGAGGTGAGGGGAGGGGCTGGGAAATGCAGTCTACATTCTGTGCCCAGCTAAAATGTAGGGATGCGGTTGCCATAGAATCGGGGAAAGTGGATATGGGGGCATGGCAGCTGATGCTCACGGGGCACCCTTTGCCTTTGACAGTGGATCCGGCATTATGCAGAACACGAAGAGAAGCACATTGTAGTCTCTGACTTCAAAAGAAGCGGACAGCAAAGGGGAAGTTTCCTTCCAGGTGGAGGTTGTCGATTGGTCTACGGAATGGTGAGAATACTGTGAAAGACGGAGCACAGATATCCAAGTGTGATCGGTCAGCAGGTCTTGGCCAGGAGCATAGGTAGAATAAACAAATAAATAAGTAAAGAGGGGAGGGGAAAGTAATATTAAGACTGTTCAAGACTTGGATTACAGCTCTCCTACAAAGCAGCCCTTTGAAGTCTTGGGATATTAGAGAAAGATCCCAACAACCACTGAGCCTGGTTTCGATTTTTGGAGGAAACACACCAGGTGAATAAAGCAGTGTGACACAAGAGAAAGGAGGCTGGCAAAGGTGAATAGGACCCCAGCCTTTCAAGGACTTGGGCAGAGCAACTGGAGGAGGTGTGAGTTCAGCCAGCCGTGTGGATCAGTTTCCTAGGCTGCCGTAACAAAGCACCACAAGCTGGTGGCTTAGAACAACGGAAGGGCATTCGTTCACAGTTCCAGAAGCCGTAGGTTAGAAACTAAGTGTGGCAAGGTCATGGCCCCTCTGAAACCTAGGAGAGAAGGATACTTCCCTGCTTCTTCCTGCTTCTGCTCTCCCCTGATGTTCCTGGGTTAGTGGCAGCATAATTCTGGCCTCTGCCTCTGTCTTAACGTGGTGTTTTTCCTGTGTCTCTTCATATTGCCTTTTCTCTCTGTGCCTCTGCCTCTGAGTCCAAATTGCCCCTTTCTATAAGGACACCAGTCACATTGGATTAGAGTCCACTTTACAGACCTTGTTTTTTTTTTTCTTTTTTTTTTTACACGGAGTCTCGCTCTGTCGCCCAGGCTGGAGTGCAGTGGCCGGATCTCAGCTCACTGCAAGCTCCGCCTCCCGGGTTCACGCCATTCTCCTGCCTCAGCCTCCCGAGTAGCTGAGACTACAGGCGCCCGCCACCTCGCCTGGCTAGTTTTTTGTATTTTTAGTAGAGACGGGGTTTCACCGTGTTAGCCAGGATGGTCTCGATCTCCTGACCTCGTGATCCGCCCGTCTCGGCCTCCCAAAGTACTGGGATTACAGGCTTGAGCCACCGCGCCCGGCCTTACAGACCTTGTTTTAACTTGATTCCTCTATCAGGACCCTGAGAATCTCCAGATAAGGCCACATTCTGAGGAACTGTGGGTTAGGACTTCAGCATGTCCGTTTTGGGGGTCACAACTCAACCCATACCAGCTTGCTTGATGGATACTCACAGCCAAAGTCAAAGTAAATTTAATTCTCATCCCCAGAAGCAAGAAAGATTCCACAGCTAAGGCCAACAATCACATCCAGGGAGTTCGTTTCCTGAGCAACGACCAGCCCTTTGCACAGCACGAATTGCCACAAAAGGCCAGCGTGGTCATTTCTCAGCCGTGCACACCTGTGATGTGGCAAGCCATGTTGACGTATCAGAAATGAGGATTCTTTAGTAAAAATAAAATAGAGTAAATTAGATTAGAATGCTCCGAAGGCAATGTATACTTCGCTGTGCTTTGGGATTCATTTTCAAAACGTGGTTCATTTTTTGAAAATACAGGTTCACGTTCAAGGCCCCTTTGAGTTTGCTTTTTGTTCAACTATTTGTGTGCAATGCATGGGATAGTCACTAATGAGAACTCCTGGCTTAGAGCCAAGAAACCAACAGAAGGCCCCAAAATGAATGCTTTAAAAGTTGGTGCACGTTTTAAAGCCGTCTCGCCCATCAGCAAACACCACCGTTTCTCCATGGACAAACCAGAGTGTCCTGACAAGGTCTCCTCTTCCCTGGTGGACAGCTGACACCCGAGGCCCATCAGGCTGGGAGCTTGCTTGTCTGGAATGTCTTTGGAAGCATGGGCTATCCTCTCCCACTCCCCCTTAGCCTCCCCTCACAACCAAAATAATTTGAAGATGTGGTGGTGTTATAAGACAATCTAGGATAATCCCCCAGTTCTTGCACACTCCTCTGTCGAGAGGTCGGTTTATCGCAGTTTGTTTTTGGGTCTATTAAGATGTCTAAGTGCCCTCTCCCAGAATCTGAACTCTGTGACGGTGTGGCTGATAGAGTACCTGGGGTGTAGCTGTGGTGTAAGTCCTGAGGATGGATGTCCTTCCATATCCGCTTCCATTTGAGTGTGGGAGAGTCTGGGAAAGCTGCACTGTCACTCTCGTGATTTAGAATAAAAGGGACACGATTTGAGTGGGCCTTGTCTAATCACGTGGACTTTTTAAAAACAGAGTTTTTCTCCGGCTACCAGCAAACAAGGAAGTCTGAGATTTGAAGCAGAAGAATAGGGTGCATTGTTGCTGCCTTTGAAAATGGAGGGGCCACGTGCCAACCAGTACAAGTGGCTTTTAGAAGCTGAGAGCGGCCCCTAAGTGAACTCAGCTCACACACAGAATGACCTTGGAAGTGGGATCGTTCTCAGAGCTTCCAGAAAAGGACTCATCTGGCTGACATCTTGATGTTGGCCTTATGAGACCTTACCTAAGAAGAGGACCTTCCCAGGCTTTTACAGAACTGAGAGATAGTAAATAGGTATAGTTTTAAGGCGTGGAATTTGAAATAGTTTATTTGCCAATGGAAAACTAATACAGTGACACTGTGCCCAATTCTAGGTCCAGGCTGCAAAAGACTTGTAGCTTTTATTTGTTTCTTGCGGCTATTTCTCCTGGATTCCAGCAGCCATGCTATGAGGAAGCCCAAGCAGCCTCACAGAGAGGTCCAAAGAGAGTAAGTAAGACCCTCAGCCCAGCCACAACCAAGCTCCTAGTCAATGGCCAGGACTGACTTTCCAGCCTTGTGAATGAGCCACCCTGAAAGTGAATCCTATAGCCCCAGCTGATCTGTTCCAGCTGACCCATGTGAAGCAGGACAGGCCATTACCACTGAGCCCTGCCCAGATTGCAAAATAAGTCGTTATTCTTATTTGAAACCACTAACTTTTGGGGTGGTTTAAATAGAGTGCAAATTTTCTGCTGCTCATCCTCATACTAAAATTGCTAATTATGTCTCTAGTAATATGGTTGATATCTAAGATAACTTAAATGAGACATTAAGTGACAATGTGACAGTCCTACCCAAGGGGAAAAACAGCTCTTGCAACCGTAAGGACATATTGTTCTAACCTGCTTTCTTCATGGGATTTTGTGAATCAAGGACTGCAATGGACAGAGAATGTTTTGCAAACTCTTAGATATCGGGGGATTTATCAACTTTGTACCCGAATATACCACCCTCATGAAAATGACAATAAGCATTGCTGTTGAAGGTGTAATGAAGTAAGCCATCTCTGACACAACACATGGGATTATAAATTGGCATAGTTCTGGAAACTAATTTAACTCTGTCAATAATTGTAAAGTGAGCAATGTTTTGACATACAATTCTAATTAAAAGAGTTAAAAAATCTAATTAAGATATAATTCCAAGCCGGGAACGGTGGCTCATACCTGTAATCCCAGCATTTTGGGAGGCCAAGGCAGGTGGATTGCTTGAGCTCAGGAGTCTAAGACGAGCCTGGACAACATGGTGAAACCCTGTCTCTACTAAAAATACGAAAATTGGCCAGGTGTGGTGGCATGTGCCTGTAGTCCCAGCAACTTGGGAGGCTGAGGTGGGAGGATCACTTGAGCCCAGGAGGTCAAGGCTGCAGTGAACCATGATCACACCACTGCACTCTAGCCTGGGTGACAGAGTGAGGCCCTGCCTCAAAATAATAATAATAAAGTTAAAAAAATAAAAAAGTTAAAATGCAATATTTGAAAAAAGAAAAAAGATATAATATCAAAGACAAAATAAAAGAAAATAATAACCCTCTCTGCATAAATAAATTCATCTCAATATTATTTGCAATATTGAAAAATGGCAAACGGCATAATGCTTAACCACATGGGTATTCTTACGATGGTCGTATTTAAAATGATATTAGGTTTTGTATCATAAATGTAGCATATTATTATGAAGCTGTTAAAGCAATGTTCATGAATGGTTTTTAATGGATATGTAACAATGTTTATAAGGTAGTGTTAAATTAAAAAGGATATAAAATTGTATATACAAATTACATTCTACTATATAATACATGAAAGTCTATATGGGTGTCCAAGTAAAATGCTTCTAATAGCAAAAGTGGTGCAACTTAGTGTTTAATAATAGTTCTTTAAATAACCGACGGTACATCCATAAAACATAATATTGTTTAGTGACTCAAAATTATTTCATAATAATACAGAAACTTATGGAAAAACATTTAGGCTACTTGGTTAAGTGGGCATAGCTACCCAGGGCTGCCTGGGAAGAGCTCCACAATTAGATAGCTTAAAACAACAGAAATAAACTCTGCCACAGTTCTGGAGGCCAGAAGTCTTGATTTCAGAAGTCTGATATCAAAGTATTAGCAGAGCCATGTTCTCTTTGAAGCCTCTAAGGATGAATCTTCCTCACCCCTTCCTGGTTTTGGTGGTGGCTGGCAATTCCTGGCCTTCCCTGGCCATCATTCTAATCTCTGCCTCTTTTGTTACGCAGCCTTCTCCCTGTGTGTCTTTACAATGTCTGCCTTCCGTGAGTGTCTCTATGACCGAATTTCTCTCTTCTTATAAGGATACCAGTCATCGAATTCGGGCCCAGCATCCTCCAGGGTGATCTCACCTTCATGTAATGAATTACATCTGCAATGACCCTGTTTCCAAATAAAGTCACATGCTGAGGTTCTGGGTAGACAAGAATTTGAGTGAATACCTAGTGGATGAAGTGAAAAAACAGATTTTCAATATGTAAAATTACTTGTACTACTTCAATACAAAGTTAAAAATGATGGCTGGATGCGGTGGCTCACGCCTGTAATTCCAGCATTTTGGGAGGCTGAGGCAGTTGGATCACAAGGTCAGGAGTTCGAGACCAGCCTGGCCAATATGGTGAAACCCTGTCTCTACTGAAAATACAAAAATTAGCTGGGCGTGGTGATGCATGCCTGTAGTCCCAGCTACATGGGAGGCTGAGGCAGGAGAATCGCTTGAACCTGGGAGGTGGAAGTTGCAGTGAGCCAAGATTGTGCCACTGCACTCCAGCCTGGGCATCAGAGCAAGACTCCGTCTCAAAAAAATAAAAAAATAAAAAAATAAACAAAAAATAAACACACACACATACACATACACACATACACTCATTACTCATTATAGTATCATACAGGATAGTTTTGCTGCCCTAAAAAAATCCTCTGTGCTTCACCTATTTATCTCTCTCTCCTCTAGCTCCTGATAACCACTGATTTTTAGAAAACTGACTCCATGGTAGCAATTGCATTTTCCAGAACTGATTCTAAGGGATTCATTAGGTGTATCCTTTTTGATTCAGTGATGCTGGTGTTCACCACCACTTATAATGGTAGAAATTGAAAGCAACTGAATTTTGTCTGTGGAAAGCTACTTACAAGTGATGTTATCAAATTGATGGGATTACACTTAGTCACTAAACATAATGTACTTACTGATAGGTATTCTTATGAAATAATTTTAAGTCACTAAACAATGTTATGAACAATATTACTGAAAGGTTTCTAGTACATCAAGTCAATAAAATCTGGTTGTGAAACAGTAGGTAAAATATAATCTTTTTTTTTTTTGAGACATAGTCTTGCTCTGTCACCCAGGCTGGAGAGCAGCGGCATGATCTTGACTTACTGTAACTTCTACCTCCTGGGTTCAAGCGATTCTCCTGCTTCAGCCTTCCAAGTAGCTGAGATTCTAGGTGTGTGCCACCACACCTGGATAATGTTTGTATTTTTAGTAGAAATGGGGTTTCACTATGTTGGCCAGGCTGGTCTCAAAATCCTGGCCTCAAGCAGTGATCCACTCACTTTGGCTTCCCAAAGTGCTGGGATTACAGATATGAGCCACCGTGCCTGGCCAAAGTATAATCATTTTTAAAAAACAAATATATGCCGTGCTGGCAACAGTGCTTGTGTCTGTATGATGGTCTTATGAGTAATCTGTTTTAAGCTTTTCTTCCTTTTTGCTTTCTTTTCCTAATTTTTATATAATGACTATGTATCACTTTTGTAATAAAGAAAATCATAAAAGTCATTAAAAATTCATAACGCTTAACTATGGGTGCTATTGCAATTACAGATGGTTGTTATTTCTTCCTTATGTTGAGTCTAATAGAAAACTGCTATTTCTATAGATTACAAAAAGTTAAATATTGGCCCTTTAATTTAAACTACTTTAAAAAATATTTTCTAAATATTCTATAGAAATCATATGCCTAAATTCCTCATGTACCTAAATTTTTGAAATTCCTCAAAAGCCTTTTGTTAAAGGATTTTAAAAAAGATAACATCATGGTTCTCATGCAAATCGAAATAAATTCCAGCCAAGGATTTAAGTCATGAATGAAGGAATGGGCAAGATGTTACGAGAGATTCAATGGAGAGCTCAAAGAACGTGCATGTATATGCCATCATGGACACTGAAACATTTACAAATAGAAGCAAAATTGGTCAATATCTGCCGGACAAAAATCGATGATGTCTCCCCCAAAGTTCACTTGCATTTCCAGGTGTAAAAACTATCTGCATTGCTCTCACCTCCCTACAGCTTGGAGTTGTAAATCCCTTAAGAGCAGCTCAGGCCCTATTAAATCAGATCACTCCACAATCTTTTGCCATTTCAATTTCTTTTTCACAATTTTCCTGATGTTCCTTTTTACACCTGAAGATAAAAGGCAAACTCTTGACTGTGTGCTTGGGCCTGGCCCCTCTGTGGGCTCATCTAAGGCCACCCCTCACTCCCACTTCCTTGCATTCAGGACGCACCAGCCTCTTTAACTTCCTAAGGGGTCCCAGGGCCCCTAGTACCCACCCTGCTGCCTGGATACCCATAGTTTTCTCTGCCCCAAGAGGTGGTCCTCCCCATGCCCCACCATCCTACCCACTTAATGCCTAACATCCGCCCTTCACCTAGTACAAACCCACTTTCCTCAGGGATTCCCAGGGCCTCTCTCACTCTGTCAACAGTTCCTTCAGGGCCTTGACTGCAATTTGAATTACAACATGAATATGTTTTATGCAAATCTAAACTTTGTGATTTTAAAATAGCATAGGCTAAAAATATTAGTAAAGTCTCTCTTTATGCTCAAACTTTGAAATAATGCCAATCTCCCAAATTACGAAAACAAAAACAAAAATAAACCCACCCCTCAAAGCAAAAGTCTCTCTCAGGGCTGTACATTTTTAAAGCTGCATTTCCAAAGGGTTGTAAATAGGGTTTCCACTCTTGCCCCAGTGTGGCCTCTCTGTAACTGGTCAATAGAAACCAGTCCCAGCCCAGGGTCACTGTGTGGGGGACCCTGTTCTTGCTATGGAACTTCCGGGAGTGGCTATTACTAAGGCATATGCATTGCTGTTATAGTCTTGTTGTTATGACAACTTAAAATCTTCCAGAAGCTCTAACAATATTCTCCAGTAGTGGTGCTGAGGCTGAGGCCAGGCATCTGTTCTAAGTGAAGTGGAACTTCCTAAAGGGGGAGTGGCTATTACTAAGGCATATGCACAAGCTGTTATAAATCTTGTTGTTAAGACAAACCTAAAACCTTCCCAGAAGCTCTGGGCTCATTGTAGCTCTCCCAGTAGTGGTGCTGAGGCTGGAGGCCAGGCATCTGGGTGATGGGGTCAGTGCCTGCTGGCCAGCCTCACATCTAACAATACCTCCAGTAGTGGTGCTGAGGCTGAGGCC